AGAAAGGACAACTGGTATACTCTCTGTTTTAGTCCGTTTTGTGTTTCTATAACAGAAATACTGGAGTCTGGGTAATTTATCAGGAAAAGAGGTTTATTTGGCTTACAATTCTGGGACAGCTGCATCTGGCATGGGCCTCAAACTGCTTCTACTCATGGTGGAAAGTGGCAGGCAGCCAGTGTGCACAAGCAGATCACATGGCGAGAGGAAGCAAGAGAGAGAGAAGGTACCAGGGTCTTTTTAAGCAAGGAGCTCTCGCGGGAACTAATAGAGCGAGAACTCACTCATTAATCCCCCCTCCCCCAGGGAGAGCATTAATCCATTCATAAGGGATCCGCCCCCATGACTCAATCAGTTTCTGGCACTGCCACACTGGAGATCAAATTTCCACATGAGTTTTCGAGGGGACAACACATCCAAACTCCATCACTCTCTCTGGTCACTATGTCCTCCCTACCACACAAGCTGAGCAAGTCCTTTTAGATTTCCATAATTCAGTTCATATAGGCTATGAACCCCTACTATGCCTTCTTCAGCCCTTATATTACTCTCCCCACAAAAAGACATGCTATCTTCTAAACCTAGTAGATACCTTTTCAGGTTGGTTTGAGGCTTTTCCCTGCACTTCAGAGGATGCTACAGCAGTAGCGCATGCTCTCACCTCAGAAATCATCCCTCGTCTTGGCCTCTCCACCAGTCACTCACTCGCCTATGGGCTGCCCCCCGCAAGCACACAGGCCTCAGCCCCCTTGAACTTATGTACGGTAGACCCTTCACTCTCACACCTCTCCCTTCCAGCTCATCGCCCTTTGACCAGCATCTCCCTACTCTTTCGCTCACTAGGGATCTTCTTAGGGAACAGGCCAACCTTCTATTACCTCATCCTTTCCCCACCACCCCCTCAGACTTTAAACTGAGCCCAGGACAGCAAGTGTATATTAAAACCCGAATCCCCAGCCCCTCTCACCATGCTGGGAAGGGCCTTACACAGCACTTCTCTCCACCCCCACGGCAGTAAAGGTGCTAGGAAAGGCCCCTTGGTGTCACTCACCAAGACTTTACCCAAAGAATCTGTTAATACCAAGCCAGAGGCGTCCCTCTGCTCAACCCCCAACCTGACATCCCCTCATCCTTTTTAGGACCCACAAAACTGAAAATCTCCAGGACCTCCACTCTTCCCCCAATCCCAAAAGAAGGATGACCTTTCCCCCAGCGATTATCCTCTCACCCTTGCAGGCCGCTCCACGTCCTTCCCACAAGAGCTACTATTATACTGTCTGTTCTAGTACTTGCTACAGGATTGGCAGCAGCTGCCCCCAAAGATCGTAACATTATAGGAGATTTCTCCCGGCACTCCTTTACCTCCTGTCAGTAGGATGCTCCTTAGCAATTTCATTGTGACAATGTGCCCTTCAAATTCTTTTGGCTCCCTAACCCTTCGCACCCTTCCCATGTTTTTCCTCCTATCTCAATGCTCCCCCTTACCTGGAACATGGAGGTTCCAGGTCTGCAGGGACAACGCAGTCCTCAGCGAATCAGACTGGTCCCCGAGTGACTCATCTGTCTCCCACTTCACGAGAAACTTTCTGTGGTCACCCCCTCCCTGTCGATGCAGCCCACAACGTTTCCACAAACGTCTCTTCACTTTCCTCTAATGTCACCTCAGTGGGGACTGTGAGCATTATGCGGGGCCTGCCCACCCTCTGCCTCACTAACACCAAACGCTACCGCTACCTCGCACTTACCCCCTCCTCATCCATGCCCTAAAACCAGAACATATTTCCTTTGTAAAACGACATTATCCTGTTGCCTGCCCCCAACACAATTTCTTGCATATTCTTTTGACTCGTCCCTGACATCATCCTCCAGATAGATGGAGGGATGGAGACGGGACTGGGACTAACTTCGGCCCCCCCTCTCAGAAAGTGCCCCCCGCTCCCATAGGGCACTAATTGTACCTTTTAATTGGGGCAGGGATCATTCCTGCAACTGGAACTGGCATAGCAGGCCTTGCTACTGCCTCTCAATTCTATAAAAAACTCTCAGAAGAACTAAGTATAGATAGCATCTCCTCCCTCCAGTGACAGGTCACCTCACTTGTGACAGTCGCTTTACAGAACCGTCGGGCCCTTGACCTTCTTACAGCCGAGAAGGAAGGCATCTGCCTCTTCTTGGGGGAGGAATGCTGTTATTACGTAAATGAGTCCAGGGTGATCCAAAACAACTTAAACCATTTAAAGGCAAGCACTGATCACCAATGCAAAGGGTTACAAAACACAAACACACTGGGGGGTGGCCCCAGTCACTGAACCCTTGGATACCCTGGCTTATGCTCCTACCAGGACCCCTAACTGTGCTTCATCCTACTTTTTGGTCTCTTCTCTTTTGGTGTTTCTCTAATTTCTTGCAGGAACGTATGCAGGCTTTCACTAACCAAAAGGTCGCCGAATTGTTCCTGTGAGGAGGATATCAGCCCTTCAGAATCAGTGACCCTTCCCTGGAAGAATACAGCATCCCCACATGTAACCAATACCCCACCACCTAACTGTTTTACCCGCCAACATAAATCTTTTATTTTTTCCATATCTTCGCCCATCTCCAGCAGGAAGTAGCTTCAGAAGAATGAGACCTCCGCCCTTCTCCCCTTTTTCCTATACTTAAAAGGCAGGAATAATAGATCTGCAACATAACCAGCGCCATTTTAGACAAGCCCAAGTACAAAATGGCACCGCCCATGTCCTACCCCTCCCCTCCCCCATTCTCTTTTACAAGAAGCCTCGTGGTTTAGGAGATGAAACTTTCGGCATTTCCACATGCGCAGAACTCTCCATCCCCATGCGCAGAACTCTCCATCTCCATGACCTAACTCAATCCCCACCCCGGAATTACATCACCCAGCTCTTGGCGCCAACATACCAATATAAACTCCCAACGCCCTACATTAGCGGCTGTCCTCCATTTTCAGGGCAGCCCTGGGCTGCCCCCACTTTGGGCACAGCCCGGCAGATTCTTTTCCTTTAATAAAGCTTGAACAGTACCTGGCATCTCGGTTCACTTTCTTTCAGAAACTTCTGTGCTTCTCCAGAGCTGCCTCACTGGGGATCCCTAACAGCCCCAGGCCAAGCTCATCTGTCACATTTGAAGGGCAAGACCACAGCAGCAAAGATCCTCACACAAGGGTTTGGGAAATGAAAAACAGCTTTCACAGACCCCATCCTGAACATCATGACCAGCTCCCGATGTTCTTCCCTTAACAACGCATACACCCCCACTGCCCCAAATCTCTACCCAGTGACTGCTAACAAGCCAGCACGAGTCCAGCTGAAGTCAGGCACTAGAGTGAGCATTTTCTTAAGGAACCAAGAAAAGTGAGTGCTTCGAACACCAAAGGGACAACCATGTCTCCCACTATTCCTCTAAAAAGAAGAAAGTTTGGTGACCTGCCTGAAGAAATGGAACCTGCACTTCCAGGTCTACCCCCTTGCTCCTGAGCTAGCGAACACTAGCTACCAGCGGAGCCTGCCCAGGAGCGATCATCACCCTGCTAGCAACAAGCACTCGGCACTCGTGTGCCAGGCAGTACCCAGAGCGCTTTACACTTCTCCTCCCCCAGATCCTTTGAGCACTCTTACCACTGCAGCTGAGGACCTCAAGCCATGAAAGGCCAAGCAGCCTTCCCAGGGTCTCGAGCCAGGGGCAGGGAGGGGGGCTGCGCAGGATGGAACCCACCCCGCCGACTCCAGGGCCACCAGGAAGCTCTGTCTGGGCCTCACTCCGGGCTCCCTGCCCAGAGAAGGGCAGGACCACATTCTAGGGAAATAGCCAGGAACACCCAGGAGACTCTACCAGACCAGTCAGAGCTGCCCAACCAAGTCTCTCACCAACTCCTGAGCAACAGTAGTAACATAACTTAGCACCCAGGCCTCCTGCAAGGATTAAAGATGATGCCTGAAGAACGTCTACTAGAGCCTGGCACAGGGCAGGGCTCAATGCAGGAGCAACCTGATCATTACCACAAAGCCATGCCTTCCTGCGCTGACTGTCCAGGGGCTCATGCAGCACGACCTGAGCCAGGAGACTTTCCAGCTGCCAGGAATATCAGGGGGCTCTGCTCACTTCTCGGCCTCACATCATGTAATCTTTAGGGTCAAGCCCATCCAGAGCCCTGGGATGCCCCTCCCCCCTCCTGCAGGAGTTCAGGTGGGAGAGACGTGGCTGGTAGCCAAGCTCTGGGGAGCGCACCCAAGGCCAACAATGCGGAGCACCGCCAAGGAACCCACATCTTCACACAGTCACCTTCAACTTCAGAGTTGCTCGGATAGACCAGGGCAAAAGGAGGGGGTGAGAACGTGGAATTCAGGGAGAACCTGAGAGACCTTACTTAGGGTTAGAAAAGGGAAGACTTAAAAATAAAAGACAGGAAGGGGAGATTAAATCAGCATCCATGAAATTGCTTTTGTTGAAATGAAAGTGAAAGTTTCCTCTACACCTGTTGGAAACTATTTATGAGTCATGCCCTTGTCTGCAATCTGGAAGGCAGCAGCCTGCTCAACAATGCCCTGGAAACATCACAGGTCCAGCTAATTTAATATTATATGTGTGCAAATAATGCGTCAAGATATCTAGAGACTACCTTTTCTAAGTTCTTTCAGTTTCTGTCCAAGAGTTTGGATCTGCTACAAAGCCCAAGTGCACAGAAATGGCCTGGGAGAGGGAAAGAGCTGGGGTATTAGAACCAAGCAGAGGCTATCCTGAAGTGGGGGTGGGGTTAGGGTGTTTGCTTTCTAGGGCACTCCGTTTCCTTCTGAACGACAGCATCTGAATATTTCAAAAAGTCATTCCCAGCAGCAAGGCCATCACCTTCCTGAAAGGGCCCTTAGAGGTCTCACTGCCCTCCGCAGGGGTGGGACCCTTCCCTCGAGGCTTCCGTCACCCCCTAACCCCTCTCTAAAGGAGGGCACTGGCATGGACGTCCCCTCCGCGATGCCCCCAACGGTTACCTCGCTTGAACTCCTCCAGGACGGCGTCCAGCTTGGTGTCGTTGAAGACAAAGTGGAGCGGGTGGTTGTAGAAGCGGGTGATGGTGCTGAGAGGGGTGCAGTCTTCGGGGTCCACGAAGGCCAAGTCCTTGAGGTAGAGCATGTCCACGATGTTGGAGCGCTCCTCCTCGTACACGGGGATGCGCGTGTGGCCGCTCTGCATGATGCTGGCCAGGACGCCGAAGTCCAGCACGGCGCTGGCGTCCAGCATGAAGCAGTCTTCGAGCGGCGTGAGCACGTCCTCCACGGTCCGGCAGCGCAGCACGCCCTTGCTGAGGTCGCTGTAGGGGTCGCCGCCGCCGCGCGCCAGCTCCAGCACGCGCTCCCGCAGCCGCCC